CCATATTGATTTCCATAGTGGTTGCACCTGTCTGTACTCCCACCAACAATGGAGAAGGGTTCCTTTCTCCCCACAACCCCGCCAACATTTTTTATTGTGTGATTTCAGCCATTCTTGTGGGGTGAGGTGGAATCTCAGTGTTGTTTTCATCTGCATCTCTTGAATGACCAGTGATGTGGAGCATTTTTTCAAATATTTACTTGCTGCTTTTACTTCTTTGAGAAATTTCTGTTCATTTCGGATGCCCATTTTTGAGCCAGGTCTTTATATTTGGGCGGGCTGATTGTTTTGAGTTCTTTATGTATGCTAGATAATAGTCCTTTGTCTGAGGAGCAGCTGGTAAAAATTTTTTCCCATATTATAGGTTGTCTCTTAGTTCTATTGATGGTTTCTTTTGCAGTGCAGAAGCTTTTTAATAAGATGAGATCCCAGTTGTTGATTCTTTGTGCTAGTTCCCGTGCTACACAGGATTTCTTCATAAAGTCTTTTCCTATGCCAATGTCTTCCAGAGTTCTGCCTAACTTACCTTCCAGCAAGTTTAGTGTTTCTGTTTTAATATATAGATCTTTAATCCACTTGGATTTTACTTTAGTGCATTGTGAAAGATAAGGGTCCAGTTTTAATCTGAGGCAGGTTGAAATCCAGTTTTTCCAACACCATTTATTAAAGAGGCTATCTTTCCTCCACTGAGGATGGTCAGCTCCTTTGTCAAAGATGAGGTAGCTGAGTACATCTGGATTTGTTTTTGTGTTTTCCAATTAGAGCTTCTTGTTCTTATCTAACTGTAATTTAGTACCCTGTCTCTCCCTCCACGTATTCTCCTCTGCCTCTGGTAACCACCATTCCACTTTTAACTTCTAAGGAGACAACGACAAAACTACAGACCAGTATATCTAATATGCATAGATGCAAAAATTCTCAATAAAATACTGGTAAGTCAAATCCATCCACATATCAGAAAAGTCACTTATCATGATCGACCAAGAGGGATATATCCCAGGGATGCCAGGATGCCTCAAAAGCTAGGGACTTTAAGCCACACTGAGAGAGACAGCATATGAAAAAAGCAAAAGTCTAGTTGATTAGAAAAATTGTAAGTTGGAATTCTCTGCATCATTGCAGGGTAGAGTTGGAATTGTATGACAGGTCCATTCCATATTGTACTTAGAAAAAAATGGCAATAAAACCTACTTAGGTCTCCCAAGGTCCTTTTGAGCCTTAGCCAATGCATTTAGTCAGTAATCACAAGCTTTCCTATGCTATTTGGGCTTGCTAGGGCAGCCGAGGCTGTGGAGTGTGATGGTAGGAGTGTTCCGTTTGAAAGCTATTGCTGAGGCACTACATTCTGCTGTATTCCCCTACCTGTAGAAGCCACTGGATTGCTCAGATATCATTAAAGGCTTGCAGCTATCTTAACAGGAAATAGCTTCCCCTTCAGATGAAGTGTGAGACAGTGAAGAAAATCCTGAGGTGGTTGCTCATTGTTTGTGCTGCAGATGTGTTCGCTGGGATATTTCCCCCTTTGCATTAATATTTTGAGGCCTTGGACTCTTCAGTTTACTGGTCATGTTCTTGTGTTGAAGTGTAGAAGATTAGAATCAAGGTAACTGAAAAGTTCCAAAGTCACTGTCTCTGTAAGGTTTCTCTCCCTTAAGAGGGGAGCAGTGTGGAAATTTAGGAAGTAATTTTGACTTCATGTCAAAAGATTCCTCAGTCTTTTTAGTCAGATGTTAAAGTGAAACAAAGAGTGATGAACTTTGAATTTAGGGATAGCTTTTTCTTAGGGATCTAACCACCTTTGCAGTGCTGCTTTGATGGTCACATGATATACTGACATGGAAGAGCTCTCCCACATCTGATCACATCATAATGAAATCATTTGGAAGGACAAGGGGGTCCTAGGTTACATCATTTGCCTCAAGATTTGAAGCAGTGAGACCATAGAACATCTGATCTGTCACTAGTTTTGTAGAGTTTTACCAGCTGGTTTGAGAGCAGCAGGAAGGAACATCCTTTCTAAGCTTTTACTTTGAAAACCCCCCAAAAGCAAATGCTAATTGCCTATAACTAAACTAGAACAGCACAGATAAATGAAGTGGTTAGTAAGAGGCAGAAGCATTCCGGGTCTAGTAACCATTCTTTTGGGAAAGGAAAATAGTTCCTTGATCAATAGGATTCTGTTAAAGATTGTAAAGAAAAACAATCACTAGTATAACCATATACAGTGTATTTAAAAATACTTTGTTCCATTTTAGACATGGTTGAATTTCAGTGGTTGATATAACTCGTTTTTATTTTATATGTTGTTTTTGTAGTATAATTTTAAAATAATTTTTTTAAAATTAGGTGCTGCCCAGTCTTATGCATTGGAACTTGATTTGACAAATTCAGAAAATGCCACTTGCCTTTATGCAAAATGGCGGATGAATTTCACAATATACTATGAAACGACAAACAAAAGTCAGGTAAGTATTTTTCTTTGAGTTTTATATGTGGAAATTTAATTCTGACTTTTTTTATCCTTTGGATAAATTGATACCAATAAGATTTCATGTTAAATAACTTAACATTTAAACTCTGTATTTTTAACATTAAACTCTTTGTAGGTACTGTATTCTACTTAGGGTTGGAATGAATATTTCTTATAATTCATTAGTTCTTTCACATTTTCTTGGAGATGGTTAAGGACACATGATCTGAAAGCTACAAGATATTCAGATCTAACAACTTCTGTAACATATTCAGAACATGTTAACATATCTTGCCTTTCAATGGGTGGGGTATCTTGCTCCTTTAGCCTTACTTTCTTTTTGTTAAGGTCTCATTTACTTATCACCTTCTCTTCTTTTTGAGACAGGGTCTTGCTCTGTCAGGCTATCCTTGAGCTCACTGTGTAGCCCAGGCTGGCCTCGAACTCACGGTAGTCCTCCTGCCTCAGCCTCCCAAGTGCTGGGATTGCAGGCATGTGCCACCTAGGTTTACTTACAGCCCTTTTCTTTTGTTTTTATTTTTGAGACAGGGTCTGGATATGCAGTTCAGGCTGGCCTTGAGCTCACTGTGTAGCCCAGGCTCGCCTCAAACTCTCATCTATCCTTCTGACTCACCCTCCTGATATCCTAATGAAAAAACAAAAAACAAAACAAAACTCAGTTTAGGAGCTACACATGTAGCTTAGGGATAGAGCACTTGCAGCATGCAGGAGATCCTGAATTCCATCCCAGCACTGTGGCACAATCAGAGCATCAGCTAAAGAACAGTCCTACAGGCTAGTTTTTCTTTTCATTTTGGACATACAAAAAATATGTGTGTGGCCGGGTGTGGTGGCACACACCTGCAATCCTAGCACTTGGGGAGGCTGAGGCAGGAGGATTGCCCCAAGAGTTCAAGGCCAGCCTGTGCTACATAGTGAGTTCAAGTCCAGTCTGAATGACATAGCAAGACCATGTCTCAACAACAAAGGTATGTGTTTAGCTAAAGAATCTGAGGCTAGCTTATATAGTACACCTGCCCGGGCGACCTGGCCATGGTGAATGGGTGATATAGACTGATGCAGCACACCAGCTAGTCTGCTCAGGGTTGATGCTCACTGATTATTTGTTCCTCACCTCTGAACTTGTTTTTCTTTTAGAAAACTGCAACCATTTCAGACCATGACAATGTGACATATATTGGAAGCATTTGTGGGGATGACCACAGTGGTCCCAAAATAGCTGTGCAGTTTGGATCTGGTTTCTCCTGGGTTGTGAATTTTACCAAGAATGAGCCTAAATACTTCATTGACAGCATCTCATTTTCCTACAACACCACAGATAGTATAACATTTCCTGATGCTGAAGATAAAGGTAATCTTCAGAATTGGATTTGTGTTATGTTCTCTGACTTTGTTTACATTTTTATTAATACAATTTAAAAATCATTATGTAAGTCTGTCTTCCTAACTAGAATGGAAACTTCATGCCTTTGTTTCCCCTCCCTCCTACTTTAAGCCTGTGCAGAGCTGAGGCAGGACACAGTGATGATGATGCCATTGCTGAGTATGCACTCTGCATCACTCCTTACTTACCCAGTGTGTTACTTACAGCACCTCGCTCCTGAAAAGCAGATAGTATCTGTTTTACAGGTGAAGGGAATGAGGATTGATGACATTAAGTGAGTTCTCAAAGGTCACAGATCTAGTAAATGCATGAGCAGCAGGCCTTTGAACCAAAGTCCATTGAGCTACAGAATTCATGCACTTGTTATTATCTGTTTGGTTGGATAGTGGACAAGGAAAGTTGAGTAAATGGGAAAGTCCCTTCCTAATTATTATTTTAAATGTATACATTTAAAGGCTAGAAGATCATCTGTAGATATTTTTAGCATTTAGGTAAGATTTTGACTAAAAACCGATGATTAAAATGACTAAAGTCTACATTTGCTGCTATTTTGAAAGAATTTTGGGTCAAAATGAACATGGTAAGGCATTAGCGATTAGGTTATTCTTGTAATTTCCAGAACTGAATTGTGCACTTGTAAAATATTTTGAAGGCATAGATAGTGCAGATTCTATAGTTCTAGGGATGTTTTATAATTCTTTCTTTCCCCTCCATGGAGATTGGGTTAACATTGCTGTCTCTCGTATCTTACCTCTTCTCACAAATAATTTCATTCTGACTCCAGAATTACAGGTAGATCAGTGTTAGTTGCATAGACTTGGAGATTAATAACTTATTTGGACTTCAATATCGTAACATCATATTTGAAGACCAAGAAGTGAATGAATTCACATGAAACTTGGGAACCAAATCCTAATTTTTCCTTTATTAATCTCTTTGAGAGGGTAACTAAAGCAAATAGGTATTGACTGTCTTCCATATTTTTCTTTGTGTCCTGCATTATCTTTGAGAAACTAGGCTAAGATTTGCTCCTCACTTTTAAGCAGTTTAGCAGTCAATCATTTGGGAAGACAAAGGTAAATTATGTTTTCCAGTTATATGGAAAATTGGCAAATATTGAGCACTGTCTTTTTCTTTTCTTTTTTGATTTTTTGTTTTTGGAGTAGAGGGTTCGTAAATATTTTCTGATAATGTAAGGAAAGCTCTAAACCTTCTCAACAAAGGAATTTTATATAGAGAGTGAATTCTGCACATGACATAGTGTCTGACCTCATCTATGGATCCCTGGGGCTAAGAGTGCCCTCTGTAGAAGTGTCTTCCTGACTAGGAGCAGAGAAAGGTGAAGTCAGTGCGAAAACTTGGTGGAGTCGCACCTGAGCCGAAAGTCCACTAATGGTAGAGAATTGCAGTAAACCGAGGAGTTTGTGCAGTATGTTTCCAACAGGGGCAAGTATAGCATGTGCAGTAACAATCAATGGAGAGGTGCCTGATTAAAACAGGCTGTGTGGAGCAGCAGGAAGTTGGCCAAGTGCAGTACATCTACATTACAGGGGATCTTAGAAGTCAAGGAGAGTCATTTGGGTTGATGGAGCGGGCACTGGGGAACCACTTTAGGTCTTTTAAGACAGAGTAATATTTTAAAAAGCAGAGTCATTTACAGAAGAATATTCTGCAGGATTCATTTGAAAGTGAGGAGACTGCAGGCTGAGCTGCTGGCTTCAGAGGCTGGTATGGTAATCAAGGGGAGATAGAGTAAATGGCCAGGCTGCCTGTACAGCCCTTGAAGCAGGAGGGTTTTGGTTAGACATATTTGCATAGAAAAGCTATAATGTTAACACTCTTCTCTTTCCCTTCTTTGCTTTTAAACATAATGGTGACTAAATTTTCTATTAGTAGCCTGCTCCCTTCCCTGGAGTTTTTGAGACAGTGTCTTGCTATGTAGTCCAGGACGGCCTTGAACTCGAATTGATTCTCCTGCCTCAGCTTCATCAGTACTATGATTACAGGTGTGCGCCCCCATGCCTGGCCTCTGTCACTAGCTTCTATGTAATAAAATATATGAAACTATTTACAATTTAAAATTACTTTCTTAATAAATGTGCTATTGATAATAAATACTAATGTACTTTTGAGTGACTGATAATTGAAGTAACTTTGAAGCTCCTGTTTCCTTTTTAAAAATGTTTCCATGATTAAAATATGCCAGGCATGTCACACATGCCTGTAATCCCAGCACTTGGGAGGCTGAGACAGGAGGATCACTGCAAATTCAAGGCTAGTTTGGACTGCATAGTGAGACCCTGTCTCAAAAAAAAAAGTACAGAGAATAGCAGATCTATAGTACCCATTACCCAGAACTAATAAATGACATTTTAATGTTTGGTCAATCATTTTATTTATTTGAAGAATTATAAACCCTTACAGATCCATCTGAGGTCTAATAGCTTCACTTCACAGCCCTTGTTTTCCTGCTGCCTGCTAGAAGTAACCAGTCTCACACCTTCCTGTCCATGTGTTTTATTTTACTACATATGTTCATATTCATAAACAATACATGGTTGACAAAACACAGCTTCATGGTATAATCTTAATATGTTTTACAGCTTTTTTTGGGGGGGGTACTGGGGATAAAACCCAAGGCTTTCAAACAGAGCTATTTCCCCAGCCATCTTCTTTTCTTCTTCCCTTCCATCCTCCTTTTTCCTGCTTTTTTCCTTCTTCCTTTCCTCCCTTTTCTGCCCTTTTTTTTTTTTTTTTAATTTTGAGAC